GGGTAGACTTCCAGCTATTTATACGACCAGTAATTGATCAATTTTATTTTTGTCATTAAGTCATTCAGGAAATTTAATTTAACATTTGCCATTCATCTATTCATTCATTCCCTCATCCACCAATGACCGACCAGTTCTGCAGTAACAATATACACTGTATCTTTACCTCTCCCTCTATTGGAGTAACGGCATCAGATTCATTGATCCAAATATTCATCACATTGCCAGATTCATACGGAGCATATTGCACGTCGTCTTCGTTATGAATTCCATGATCCTGCAAACAGGAAAAATAACTTAATGCATCCCATGTTTCGTTTAATAATAAAACCATACCCCAAGTGCAAAAAATAAAAAAATAAAAGCAATTCACAATAAATTCCTGAAATTACAACAAAAAGAAGTACAAGCAAATTGCTAACAAAAAAACCACAATGGATTAACACACAGTACGACTGATACTTGATCAAATCAATAAAATAAACAAAAAATGGATTGTATATATAAAGTATATATCGAGGCATTAATAGTAGGTCAAGTGCCCGTCTACATATATCTATATACACGTATCTCATGAAACAGTGCTGTCGAGTTTCAATATTCATGTAATTGTGTCTTAAGGTAGCGAGACTATTATTTATGTTGAAAATTACGATTTTCACATTTATTTATTAATTTATGAAATGCACTATAAACTTTCATGTGATAAAGTCAACGTAACCTAGAATGTCATGTAAGTTGGTTAAAATGTAGATTTTCTGAAGGAAGCAAGGCAGCCTCAGTAGTGTTTTCCAAAATCAACAACACAGGTTTAATCTGTGTGCCTATAAGTTTCAAAGATTAACTCAAGACAAAGCAATGTTAGGACGTGTTATTAGTAGCTATCTGACACACAATGAGTGTTTCCAAACATTTGAGTGGTTTGTCTCCGCCCCTGTTTATTTCACAGATTAGTCATTTGCATATGAATGTGTCAGACACAAGGTCACACAGCCACTGAAAAAAAATAATTGATTTTGGTGATTTTATCGAATTATAGCTATCCCATTCCTTCATTTTTTTGGTTTCCAATAGTCTTACACATTTGGATGTCCCTACACATGTTAAAACAGACCTTGATGGGAAAACAAATCGCTTGTGCAATTAAACAAGCTTGAAAATCTTTGCTGTGACTTCATGGATGTTTTCTAGGAGTTTATGTTTTTCAAAATACAAGGTCTTTAACAAAAAATAACGTATACTTATTATCGTCGGATTAACACCAAATTTTCACAGCTTTAAGCTGACAATGAGAGGAACTTGAAAGTGTCCAGACAAATTATTTCATGGGTTATTTACCAATGTGTTGTGGTTTAAGTTGGGGGCAATGAGACTAAAACTGAAATTAAAATTCAGGACACTACTTTTCAAAATGCGTTGCTTGAATAAAACTGACCAGACACATTCAATTTACCAAACTATTGAACAACTAGGAAAAGTGAAAAAAAAACTTCTTATCACCAGCATAAATGTGTAATTATTTTTTTTACAAAAAAAGTAATTTTTCACTTTTGATTAAGTAACGCATCGTAGAATGCAGATACTGGCATGGCAAACACACCTTTGGAAAGCTTGAAATCTGGCAATTCCAAAAATACATACTTTCCTGGGTCTATTTGTAGTAATTTGGTCACAATTAGAAGATGAAAACAAGTATGCAAATAATAGTCCTGCTACCTTAATTACTCTATTACCGTATCCATCTGATCTACATATACTTTGTATTGAGCACTTTTGTTTTGGGATAATCGACTATATATATAGGTATATGAAATTAAATCTGTCGTTTGTTTGTTTCCGGGAATGATCTTATTCAAAGTTGTTTTACTGCGATGTTATGTACTGTACCAGAATAATGATTCCACGCTGACCATAAGCATGCAGTTCATCGAAGAATTCTCCCAACCCCGCCCACTTTTCCTGGTCTATAGTGAAATCACGATAACCGCTCATATAGTCAATATCAGCGTATTGGACATCCTAGAACAAAACCATAACATGGAAGAACGTGTCACATATATTTAATAATATATTCCATCTACTCTTCTTGATATGTTGATGTTATCCCATTTCCGATTATTAATTACGAGTTAAAAACATATATTATTAGACATAGTTATTTGTTTGTAGTTGTTTATGAGAATGGGTCACACCTGAGGAATATTGTGGTCTCTCATATCTTCTACTATATTTTTCACTTGGTCCAAATCTTCGTAACCCCATTTACAGAGCTGAAACCCTAGAGCCCAATATGGCGGCATCATCGGCGTGCCTGTAAACTGTGGGATAAAAAACATTTTATACAAAACCAACATAAAAAAAATGCTTCTAATCTTATAATAACAATCTTGAATACGTAACATTAAATGAAAGTTGCAATATGGATAACGGTAGGTATTATGTAGTTATGCTGTATAATAAACAAAGATGACGAAGAAAATCAAATTAAAGATGATACTATATAACTCGGGTGTGATGGGCGATACATATCTCAATACGAAATCTCGCGAATTGCAAAATAGTCAGACAATCTCAAACAAGTTTGTTTCAATTGAAGAAGGAAGTTATACCAATAAACCACGTGATCTCAAATTATGCTTGGATTGTAGACAGAATATCGCAAATTAAATTTCATTGATTGTTTGTATGTGCGAATAACTACATATCTAAAACTAGAGACGGCTTTGAGGATGGGATTACCCTTGTTTATTATTTAGTGTCGTGTTCAGATAAATCTTTGTTAGCTGAATTTGGAATTTGTTAATCTAATTCTCAGATTATATAGAAAAAAAAAGTTGATTCTTGCTTGTTTTTGTAATATTGAGTTGTCACTGTAAATAAACGGACTTACTAAATCTTACGGTAACACTATGCAAATGGTAAAACTGTCGAAGATCTAGTGTTTTTGCTGTTGATCCGTGCATATATGACAACGTGGCATGCCCTTCCTCTATACAAACTATTATATGGTATACAAACAAATAGCTAATGTATGTGACATTTTGAATAAAAAGTACGTATAAGTAATTTGGGTATATGCATGGAGGTAATTCCCTCCATGGTATATGTAAGTAGTGTGTATTTCACTCCTTTCTCAAATGAAAATTCTTGTCACAATCCAAGGTAAATATCAACGTCCGTGTAATAGTGAACACATTGTAAAATTCTTTATTTTAGCTGCAACTAATTTTCGGTGAAAAGACATTTTGTATGAATTATATTTTCACCGATTTGTGATATATTGAATGTAAAATATAGGAATATGTGAAAATAAGGCATTTGACAGTGCACAATATTGTCCGTTCATCCATTACATTAAAACAATACTACATTATATTGTACATCGGACAGTTATTTACCTCGAGTGTGTATTGTTTCACTATGTCTTCTGGTGATGGTCCAAGAAAAATATAGAAGTCTAAAATCCCGCCAATTGTACGATACGTTAAAGCCGGTGCTGGTTGCAAAACAATGTCTGAAACACATTTACAACATCAAAATGTCATCTTCAAGTTAAATTTTCAAAGTGAATTTTCTGGCAAGCGCTCGTTTGAGGAAAAGGAAACAAAGCGAAACAACAGCGTCCAGGCAAATAATGATATATCTAATACTTTGTGATAGTTTTTTTTAAGGTAGCAAGACTATTATTTGTGTTGAAAATTACGATTTTCACATTTATTTATTAATTGATGAAATGCACTATAAACTTTCATGTGATAAAGTCAACATAACATAGAATGTCATGTAAGTTGGTTAAAATGTAGATTTTCTGAAGGGAAGCAAGGCATCCTCAGTAGTGTTTTCCAAAATCAACAACACAGGTTTAATCTGTGTGCCTATAAGTTTCAAAGATAAACTCAGACAAAGCAATGTTAGGATGTGTTATCAGTAGCTATCTGACACACAATTAGTGTTTCCAAACATTTGAGTGGTTTGTCTCCGCCCCTATTTGTTTCACAGATTAGTCATTTGCATATGAATGTGTCAGACACAAGGTCACACAGCCACTGAAAAAAATCATTGATTTTGGTGTTTTCACATGCCGAATTTATCCAATTATAGCTATCCCATTACTTTA